TTTGGACCTAACAGGTTTTCCATAGAAAACATGAGTTAGCGCGCTCGAAGGATACGGCCGCGTCTTCACTTAGCTTAGGTGGAGTCGTGGTCAAGCGCTGCTTTATTTATGTTAAAAAAAAGAAACGTAAAAAAGGAGCGACTCATTGGCATTACAAATCTCTGAATGGTATAGTGGTTGTCAAATATCTTAACGTCTCTGAACACACCAGTCGCTGCATAGAACACAATTGTAGCTGGGTCGGTACAGGGATACAGGGGAAACGTTTTGTCTTCCAAACATGGTACGCTTTTGAACTAAATAAAACGCGAATTTTAACAGTCGACTGTTACAAAAATACACAAAATAATTCCGGTTATAATTTAAAATCTTTAAATCTTCAGCCTAATTATTTATAAACTACTAAGATTTGTTTATAAATCGAACCAATTACTTAACCGCAATTAGCCTACGCGTTCCTATCGCGAAATTCATCGCCAAAGCAAATAGTAAATTGTCGATAAACAATGTAAAGCCAGCCACTAGACTGGAATATCGATAGGATCACGCTGTAATAAATTGTCATGTTATCGATAAAACAGCACTAGCTGACGCTATAAACAAACGGGGATGTCGCGAATGTCCATGTTTTGTTAGTATTTCTTATGATTAGTTTAGCAATGCAAATTCAATGAGGAAATGGTCCAGATAAATAATTATATATAGACAATTTATATACAAGTAGTAGCTGAACTGGTAATACCAAAGTTTTAGGAAATTCAAAAATCTAATTAATATAATGCTACAGTTCAATGCGACCAAAAAAGGAGAGGAAGTGTATCTTTTAAGATATTTATACAAACCTAGGCATCCTCAGATCATTTTGAAAAGAAGAGAAGAAAATAAGATAATAGTTTAGGAACGTATAACACAAACATACGTTAAATCATATCATTCATTTTTATCTATACCTACTAATATTATAAGGAGGATAGATTTGTATTTTTGTATGTATTGAAATTACTCAAAAACTAATAGGCTAATTTTAAAAATTTCACCGTAAGAGAGACAATTTACCTGCGAGTAACATATGCTATATTTTTTAAATATGTGAGAGAGAAGTCACGAGCAACAGCTAGTTTATAATGTAAAGTTTTAATTCAAAAATCTACTATACATATAGCAGAAGTCAACAGTAACCGTTAAAACAATGAAATTGATGGCATCAATTTTGCAAAACCACCTACTGACCTAGAGAATAAATGACGTCAGAGGTCGCAGTGATCAGAAGAGAGTGAAGTGACTCAGAGGCTGTGAGAAAGTGTGACCTTATTGACCTCTGAATCTTCAAGACAATAATAGAAAATTCATTATTCTATTGATATCTAAAACTACCTTTTCTACCAAAAAAAGATTAATTTTAATTAATGTAAATCCCATCCGAATAAAACATAATAATTACTTATTAAAATCTCCCTAAACTCTTGCATACTATAAGTGTCTTATTAATATACATATCAAAAAAGAAACTGAAGAAAAGAGAAAACTACACATAAGTAACAAAAGAGTGCCATAAATATGGTGTGTAGTAAAAATAGTGCCAGAAATTATGTTCAATTACTTAAATTACAACTCTGAAATTTTATCAAAGAACGATACGAATTTTAGTAAACTCTTAGTCACATGAGAAAGAGTACAATAAGGGTCTGTCCCACGAATGGCAGATAGAGGCTTAGATAGCTTAAAAACTGCCACTGTCAGGTAAGGGAACAATATCCGATATTTCCATCACATATTTACGTTGGATTGTTATAAGACAGAGCGTCGGTGGCTCAGTGGTTTAAGCACTTGACTTGTAATCTACAGTTCTTGGGTTCGAATCCCGCCATGTACCAATATAATTTTCGATTTTTCAAATTTTCATATGTACATAATTTACCCAACGTTCTTACGGTGTAGGAAAACATCGTGATGCCTGCACAAATCGGCGAAGTAATTCAAAGATACTCGTATGTGTGAAGTCAATCAACCCGCATTGGGCTAGCGTGGTTGACTATGGCATAGTCACCCTAAGGGAAGGCTCCGAGCCCCCTCGGCGGGGACGTATAGTGAGCTGGTGATCGTTATAGCACAATTTACAATTTGGTGGGACAAGCCCTTATTGTTGTTGAGATTTGATAAGATAGCTACAATCACTTAATATTAAACTTTACTAAATAAATGATACAAACTGTTGGAAAGATTTAATTATGTGAATTAACATTTCTATTTAGTCAGGAACTTTGTTTTTATTCTTTCAATCCTTTCGATGATATTTGATTATTCGCTATTAACAATAATTTTTTTTTTTATAACAAGATAACTTGTTTTTGAAACCAGTTTTATAATCTTGCAAACGATCGGAGTACCTATGACCCGCTGTTAGCCCTTCACTTTATAACTCGAGGTGAATCAGTACATTCTATATTTATTTGTTTAAATATAATAGTATACATATAGTAACAAAACATATAGTTTCATAAAAATAGTAACTTTCCCCCGCGGCTCCGTCCGCGTGGGATTTAGAAAAGCAAAATTGAGTAGCCTCTTCTAGACTATCCTCTATACCTGTATGTCAAAATTCATCGAGATCCGTTTAACAGTTTAGGCTACAAACTCCAACAAACATCCATCCATCTCTACTTTCGCATTTATAATATTAGTAAGATTTGCGGATGAAATGAAAAATTACTATTCCAAATCAAAATATGATACCGATCAGTCAACTAGCAGACAAATTATTGACGAAGTGTGTCCGCACCTTTATATACCTGAAACATCTCAATACGAAGTTTAAATTCCTTCGTCTGCTTTCACCGGACACACAGATGTTCCAAATGTTTTACTCATTCGATTATTTCATTAATCGATTACATAACACGCCGCCTGTCCGTCTGTCTGTCGTTTTTTGTGCGTACAATTACGTGCA